CTGTCCGTATCTGCTCGCATGCTGTCTCGCACAGGCCCGCGTGCACACGCACGCACACAGCGTGGCCGGCTTCCCGAGGTCGTCCTGAGTGTCCTTACCGGGCGGCGTGGCCACGGCATTGTCACGAAGCAGGGCCTCTGGCACACTCACTGCTCAGCAACGGAGCCCGGAGCCCCCAGTGAAGGCCCACACGGTTACTGGCAGGTGCCTGGGGGCGTGACCCGTGAAGGCCCGCGTGGCCCTGTCGTGTCTGTGTTCTCAGATGGATCAAGGGCAGCGGGTCGGCGTCTGGCGACATGTTGTACGTTTGTGTACCGCGGTGTGACAGGCGCGAGTTGGCGTGACAGCTGATCCACAGGCCACAGCCACACAGACAGCGTCCCCAGTCCTGCGGCCGTAGCGCCGTCCTCTCCTCGTCCGGAGACCAGGCCACTCTCCTTCTTTGGGAGGGAGCACATGAGGGTGTAGGAGACCCTTCTGGGAGCGGGACCCCTCGTAGGCATGGGCGCGGCCTCTCTGCCCCGTGAGGATTTGGGACCTGCTATGGCAGCAGCACTCACGCTACTCGGGTTTGCAAGTCCCTGTGGTCACTGCAAGTTTGGCATTGAAAACACGTTGTTGAGCTACACTTCCCTCTCCGCGCGGCTCGTTTGGGCCTTGTGGGAAGACACGAACTTCACACGGTGTGAAATGCACAATTTCCCTGTGAACGGATGGCCCGCGAGCAGTGGGCAGTGACCTTGAGCTGGCCGTGTCCCCACACCCCGCCAGCCGCACGTGCGCCAGCCGCCCTCGTCCAGAGGACTTGGCCCACTTGTCACTCCCCTGTCACCTCCCCGTAAGTGCTGAGTTCAGCACCAGACCTAAAAACAGGCATTTTCACGTGTGGAAGACTTAGCGGTTCTTACCCCTTGGAAGCGGAATCCTGCGTTTTGTTTAGTTTAGTTGAAGCAAAGAGAGGTCATTGTTGTGACAGGTAATTGTATAAATATTGTTTTGACAGACACTAAACGTGCCAGAGGCAGGAAGCCAGGTGGGGAACGTGTGAGGTATTCAAATGACTTTCCTGAAAATGAACTTCGTGTTTTAAATAATAGATGTTTATCTCCCAGGATAAAACTTAAATATGCCCATTTTCACTGAAATGGCATGTTTTTAAAAGGACGAGCTGTACCCGGAATCCGCCGCATCCCGCCGGCTACCAGAGGCGCCACACGCGGTCCCGGGGGACGTGGAGGCTGTCATTTCCAAAGCGTGTGACTGCAGCAGGGCCGCCTCCTCACGGTCTGGAACACACCTCAGCCACACGAGAAACCGTGTTGCCCGAAGACTCATTTACGTCTTATTGTGTTAGACGTTGTGGAACGGAAGAGTGAGTGGCCGAAATCGTGCCTTAATCAGGCTCTGATTTTACTTTTGTGTTTCCTCTTACAGAAACACTGATTTGAGTCCAGCTCGGCATTAAGTTCTCTGAGCTCGTCCAGTGGACAAAAGGCTGAGGGCCCTCCCCAGTGAGGCTGCGGGGAGTCGGGCAGTGGACAAGCTGGTCTTGGCTCCGACCCTGCCCAGCACCATTCCTGGGCACACTTGTGTGTTCACGTGGGAAGAAAGCGTCTCAGCTGGGAGAGGAGACGCGTTTTGTTTCTGTGGGACGGAAGCAGCCCCCGCGAGAACCCGTTGAAACGGGCACTGTGTGTGGGCTCTCCGTGGTCAGTGAGGGACTCATGTGCACGGGGTCACGGGATGGCGCATGCGTGTGCAGGGCTGAGAGAAGCTGTCCTGTGGCCTCTCCACCTGCCGAACACATGGTTGCGGCACGCCCGGGCCCCCGCGGAGACCCTGCCGCGGGCACACGCCTGCACACACGTGGAGTCTGTGTCGGTCAGACACCTGTGGGTCTGGATGGAAAGGACTCTGTGTTAATGTGGCAAAGCCACGTGGACGAGACCACGTCCACAGATGCGTGGAGCCTGTTACAGGCAGAAAATGCTGCAAACAGCATGACCAACGCGTGTGTCTTTCCCCGACTTCCCGACCGAGCACAGTGCTCCATGGTGTGTCTAGAAGGCTCAGACATGAGTGTGGGGGTGTGTGCACATGCCCATGGGGTTTCAGTGTGAGTACACGCACGCCCGTGTGTGTGCATACGAGTCGCGCCTGCTGTATATTGAATGTGAGTGCACAGGTGTTTGCTGTGTGTGTGCATGTGGGGTCTGAGCGTGCGTGCGTGTGGGGGGTCTCTGCATGTGTGGGGTCTGAGTGTGTGAGCATGTGGGGTCTGGGTGTGCATGTGCGTGTGTGGTCTGAGTGGGGGGGTCTGAGTGTGCATGTGTGGGGTCCGAGTGTGCATGTGAGCACGTGGAGTCTGAGTGTATCTGTGTGCACTTGAGGTCTGAGTGTGTATGTCTGTTGTGTGTTTGCACGTGTGAGTGTACAGGTGTGTGCTGTGTGAGTGGGACACTTGGGAACACTTCTGCGTCCCCAGCTGTGCCCCCTCCTGCACTGAGCACCCATCTTCGGAGGTTGCCCAGGTGATGTCAGGGTCTCTCGCACCATACCTGTGACTTGAGCACACGGGATGCCCCGACCCTCAGCCCCTTCCCGGGACCTCACGCACAAGCACCCAGTTCTCTGTCCTGGTGGGTGGCAGGCCGGGCCCTGGCACTCAGGTTGCTGACTGCGTGGATTTGCGCCGTGGACAGCCTGTCATGGTGCAGATGCTCTCGTGGGAGCTTGTAAGGGGCTCATTTTCTAACTGACTCAAACAGTAAGTGAGCGAGTCTCTTCCCGGCCTGGCTTTGATTAAAGGCTCGCGCTGACTTGAGTCACACTTGGAGCAGCAGGCGTGTTCCTTGGGTTAACAGATGCTGGGGCTCGGTTTCCGTTCTCGACCGGCACTCTGACATCGGAAGCGTTTCTGTTGAAGGTTCCGAGTCGGGTTGAAGACGAAGACATTCACGTGCTTGGGACACATGTCGCGACACACTGGAGCTGGTCTCACTCGGCCCCGGGCAGCAGGGCCCGGCGTGGCTGTGTCCTCCTCCCCACGCCAGGGCACCCTGCAGAGGCGTCGGCTCTCGGCCCACGTGAAAATCGACGTGCATGCACTTGGCACGTGGACACCTGCGCTTTCCAGGAAGCAAGACGTTTGCTGCCCGACGCTGGGGAGGAGCCTACCTTCTTCCCTCCTCCCAGCCGCCGGCAAGCGCACACCCGCGACTCAGGACAGAGCGGGTTCCTTCTGCGGCCGGGGGCCACGTGAGGGGTGCAGCCAGGAGCCTTCGGAAGGGAGTGCTCAGCGCATGGGCCTTTTGAGTTCCCGTGGCGTCTCGCTGACCAGCACCTGGTGCTCGGCAATGACTGACTGCGAGCAGCCGGCCTGCACCTACTGGAAGCTGCCGCTGTGCCCGGAAGGACAGCGGAGAGCGGCCCTCGCCCCGCATCCATCTGGGCTGTCGCTCCTGTTTCCGAAGTCTGTGGTTCTCAGGTGGGGACGTGAACGGGAGTTTACCAACCTGCACAAACCCAGCTGCCTGGAGACGCGTGTGCGAGGGTTGGCTCTGGACGCCTCCTCACAGCCCTCCTGCCTGTGGAGCAACCCTCTGTCTGTGTTCATGTCAGAGCTCCGTGTCTCCCTGTGACACCCCATCACGGCCTTTGCCTCGTGCCCTCCCAGCTGCCACGCTCCTGGGGACGCCGTCCATCCGTTCCCGTTGGTGTTTGCTGCCTGCACTGGCCCCCCGAGGGCACGGGGCTGCCTGCCCCACCATCATGGTCTGGGCCTGCATTGACCAGCAGGTCCTTGTGACCCTGTACCTGTGTCCTCGGGGTGGATGAGGCGACCCCGGGTGGGTGAGGTGACCCTGGGGCGGCCTCCTTGCAGCACAGAGGCAGAGCCTGGGTGTCTACGTGGGTGTCCCTGTGCCTCCCGGCCCCGCCGCCTGCATCTTACCTGCCTGGGGCACGGAGGAGGCTGCTGTGGGGGGTCATGCGGTGTCCAGCCCTTGCAACCGTGGCCAGTGGGTGGGATGGCGAGGATGTGTGTCCGCATCAAGGGTCATCCTTCTGTAGCTCCTCGGAGAGCACACTCTGGCTGCGGGCGGGCGGCCGTGGCCTCCTGCTGGCACTGGTGGCATTCCTACCCAGATGCCGTCCTCATGGCAGAATGTTGCTCGGCGCGTCGGACTGTGGTGTTTGAACGACCGCCTGTTGTCAAACAGAAAGTAGAAGTGAAGAAGTGTTGGGTTTCGGGGCCCATCCTAGGCTCTGGGTGGTGCTCCGGGGGCGCGGGCTGGCGGGTATGGTGCTGCATGTGGCTGTCACCTGCCCCTGGAGGGGACAGGCCCTGAGCTGGGAGATCAAGGGTCCGAGTGTTTATGGCTTTCTGCACGCCTCCTCTTTGCTGTTAGGACGGTTTGAGAGTGAGAAGGGGGACCTTGCCCTGCCCGGCCCGTCTGAATTGTTTAGGGAAAGAGTTGCGAACGGCTTGGTGTGGCCCTGGGTTCGTGGGTAGCGCCTGCCGGACGCGGTCCTTTCAGCGGGGAGAGAGTGCCAGGGAGAGAGTGGACGGTGTTGTCACAAGGTGCCAGGGAGGCACGCCCAGGGAGGAGGTAGAGGCTTTGGGGGAGGCGGGAGGAGCCGAGCCCAGCCACACATCACCACCTCGGTGCCCTGGGTGCGGCTCACAGTGGTGGCATGGCGCGTGTGCAAGATGTGCACGTGTGTGTGACACGTGGGTCCATGGGGCACTGGGTGAGCGTGCGATGCACGTGTTGCACACGTGGGCGCGCGTGTTGGAACGGAGGCGACAGGAGTGCTCCCAGCCAGCATGGGACTAGGAGTCTGTCACAGAGACGCAGACGGGGACCGGGCCGCGGGGGTACTTCGCGCCCAGCACCTGCTGCGCGTTTTCCCCGTGAATCAGCCTCTGCTGGCGCACGCCAGGCGGGCTTGGAGCCGTGGGCCGGCACGCGTACGGAGGCTTCTCCTTCTCTCGCCAGCTTCACGGCTACTTGGAAAACGAGCCGCTCACACTACAGCTGTTCATCGGGACGGCCGACGACCGCCTACTGAGACCCCACGCCTTCTACCAGGTCCACCGGATCACGGGCAAGACCGTCTCCACCACCAGTCACGAAGCCATTCTCTCCAACACCAAAGTCCTGGAGATCCCGCTGCTGCCCGAGAACAACATGCGAGCCATGTGAGCTGTGCGCGTGGCCGGGGCGCTCGGGGCGGGCGCTGGGCCGCGGGACCTCCCCCAGCTCTGGCCTGGGCTCCACACCTGTGGAAGCCACAGATCCGTAGGGGGCGGGTTTTCGTAGGGCCTCTGCCTCTGGGCACGTGGCACTTGAGCAGCTCGATCCCTGTGGCCAGTCCCCCTTGTGCCTGCGTTCACCTCCTGAACACGACACCGGGTCCTTTCTGAGTCCGGGGGTGACCGCACAGCGACACTGATGGAGGGTGGGGTGCAGAGTTCTCTCTGGGGGGCTCTGTCATCGTCGACGTGCGTTTGGACTGCCCTCGTGGCTCCAAGGAAGCCGTCTCTGGGCTGACGACTGGCCTTAAGAGGTCCGTACCCGCGGCCTCCTCCCCTCCTCCCGACGACTGTCGGGTGCCCCACGCTCCGCTCGCAGGGTGTGAGGAGCGAGCCGTCTCCTGGGCGCGCCGTCGCGTGGGCCCGGTGGGCTCGGCTTGGGGCGGAGCGGAGACGCCCTGTGTGGCAGTCAGGGACTGAAGGGCAGGTGTGGACCCTTGTTCCGAGTAGTGTGGACTGTGCTGGGATCCTGAAGCTCAGAAACTCAGACATCGAGCTGCGGAAAGGGGAGACGGACATCGGGAGGAAGAACACCAGGGTCAGGCTGGTCTTCCGGGTCCACATCCCGCAGCCCAGCGGCCGGACGCTGTCCCTGCAAGTGGCCTCGAACCCCATCGAGTGCTGTGAGTATCGGAGCCAGCCCCGTGTCCCACACTCTGATTTGTGGCACCTTTCCTGTCCTTGTGCATGGAGACTTGTGAGCTGTCCTCACGTGTGCATCACTCTTGTCCCTTGCCCGTGGCAGCAGCCCCCGAAAGCTCGCCGTGCTGGGTTCGGGTTCACAGGCTCTGTGTGTGGCAGGGCCCCCTGCTCCTGGCACCTGCGGGGAAAAGAGGGGAGCTTGTTCCAAAATGCCCAGAATCTTGCACTTGTCACCCGTGAGCTAATCCCTCCCATTTCAGAAACCCGGCGGGATCCTGGCGTCCAGTCCGTGGGGCTGCGCGGATCTAAGCTCGCAGCTCGTGTGTGACTCACTCACCTTCCCTCCCAGCCCCTGCTTGTCTCTTCTCTCGTCGTGCGTGTGATTCAGGGGCGTCCGGCCTCAAGCTCGAGCGCTCTGCTCCTGTGGGGCCGTGGCCGCGGCAAGGACTCAGTGTCCCCGGGGCGTGACTGTGCTGACTTTTGTCCGCCCGTGAGGCTGTTGGTGGAGGTCTCACAAGTGCCCGTGCCCAGGCCTTGAGCGGGACGCCCCGGAGGTCTCTCTGTGTTCTTGTAGGAAGTGTGGCTGGCCCACCCTCCCCCTGGCCACGGTCTGAGTGTCTCCTATCCGGCAACCCCTCTTCCTTCCCTCGTAGGGTGTGGCTGCCCCCGCGGCTCGCTGTCCCTTGTCTCAGTGGAAGGGCTGGGTTTGGTTCGCTCACCTCTGACCTGACCGTCTGACTTACCTCAGAGCCTAGGACTCCTTCCCCGCAGTGTCTGTCCCGTGGCCCCGACGTGGAGCCCCACAGACACCCGTCCCCACGCCTCAGCATGGCCCAGGGCTCTGCCACAGGCCACTGCACATGCCTGAGGCTCGGCCTCCTCCCTGCAGACCCACCGGCTGGGTGAGAACCGTGTATGTGTAGCTGGCCATGGGAACTTTGGGTTGATGGCCTCACGGTGCCCCGTCCTCCCCAGGTGACCCCACTTCCCTGCGTTCCGTGCCTTGCTACCTCACGGCTGCTGGCCTTGTCCCAGACCCTCTGGTCCCGTGGCTCCATGGACAGGACCCAGGGTCCCGAGACCCCACCCCCAGTTTCCACAGGGCCCGCGGCCTGGCCTCACCATGGCTCCCAGCTGCAAGAGCCCGTGGACGCAGCGTCCTGATGGGCGCTTCTTACCTGGAGCTGTGTATCCCGTCCGCAAGGAGCACCCGTGTCACCCTAGAGGCCGAGGGTCCCCCCTGGGGTGGCCTGTTCATGCCCAGACCTGCACCTCTGCTCACGCCCTCGTGACTTGACGTTCCCGCCAGCACAGATCAGACGTCTGTCTGCTGTGCTCATGTCCGCGTGGTGCCACGAACCCGCATCTCGTGCTGGAGGCTGTCCATGTACGCGTCGTGCCCCCCAGCAGAGCCCGAGATGCTGCTGGGAGGTGCCTGTTTCTGACAGACCGGACGACCCTGGGGTGCTGTCTCAGGTCACGGCATGAGGTGGGGCCGGGGACACATGCTCACTCTCCCTGTTCTGACCCCACGCAGCCCAGCGCTCGGCCCAGGAGCTGCCCCTCGTGGAGAAACAGAGCGCGGCCAGCTGCCCTGTCCTTGGTGGGAAGAAGATGGTCCTGTCCGGCCACAACTTCCTGCAAGACTCCAAAGTCATCTTCGTGGAGAAAGCTCCAGGTACTTCCTTACCAACAGACCGGGGCGTGCTTGCTGCTTTGGGAGGTGAGGGGGTCAGTTCCTAGAGGCAGAGCAAGGCCGCTCGCTGGGTCTACACGTGCTGGGTAGTGGGAGCAAACCCTCTGGCTCTGCCATGCTTCCAGGCCTGCCACCGCTGGCTGCCCATGGCCCCTTGCCCTTTGCCCAGACTGGACGGATGTATGCTTCTTGGCTCTGAGCAGCCCCTGCTCACGGCCACTACGTGGGCTGAGTTGGACAGCGCCATTCTGCTCTGTGTAGATGAGGGCTTCTTGCCACTCTGGACCACAGCCTTCTTGGTGGCAGGTGTGTGCATGCAGAGCGGCTGTGGTAGGCGGTGGACCCGCACTTGGACTGGAGGCCTCCCCACTGCCCTTGGCGTCTTTCTGGCCCCCTTCTTGGTGCTGCCCCAGGATGCAGAACGGGTGCTGCTGTCCTCCGTGGCCCATGGCCCCCGGGACTCTCAGTGCAGGTGTAGACCTGGGTGCTCAGTGGTACAGCCGGGCTGCTGCATGGGCGAGGTGGACGGTCTCTCTTCTCTGATGTTTGGGTGATAGCCCCGGCTGTGCACGCAGCCTCCCACCCCTTGGGACGCCCGACCCATCCGGGGAGAGGCCAGCGGGAACTCGCGTGCGTAGCAGACTAGGGCGGGCGACAGTGTGTGCGGGTCTCGGCTCTCCCCGAAGCTCTCCGCGGCTTTGATCTCGAGCCAGGTCCCTGCTGAGTGTGGCCCGCAGGCATGAGGCCCTGCCCCCGATCGCAGCCCTGCGTTTCCTCCTCCCCATTAATGGAGGGCACGGGTGCAGGAGCCACGCTCACCACTGGAGACCACGGCGGGGTTCAGCCTCCACAACAGGGTCTTGATTTTGTGCCGAGAGCGGGAAGCTTAAGTGCGTCCATCAAAAGGGACTTGAAAGTCCTGTGCGCTCCGCACACCCGGGCTGTGTGATCACACGCACGACTGGAAAACGCGAATTACAGGGAAAACCCACCAAGCATAATGAGCAGGAGAATTTGTGTTACTGCAGCATTCTTCTTTGAAGGAGCCTAATTTTGAAAGATTTAACCTTTTGAGCTTTCAACGTGTGAATAAGTGTGGGGGGGGAGGGGCCGCAAGGCAGTGCTCTGCCGGCCACGCAGCAAGGCGATGTGCCGGGACGTGGCCCAAGTCGCTGCTTTTCAGGCTGTGGCATGAAGGGGGAGTGTCCGCGGCTTCCTTCCCTGTCTTCCCTGACCGGGCATCGTCTTGGCCCTGCGTTGGGACTCTGGGTGCCTCCTGGATGCTCCCGCTCTGTGGGAGCCGTGGGGCTCCTTCTGCTGGGTGGGCTCTCCCAGCCCAGCTGGCCCACTCAGTCCCAGACCTTTGCTCCGTGGCCTGGTGGTGCCATGCAGAGGTTGGCCGCGAGCCCGAGGTGTGGGGACTTAGTCCACGGGTGCGTGCCCGGCGCCATCCTCCTCTGGGGGCCCTCCGGCCCCCCTCCTGCAGCAGCCCTGAGCCCCGTGCACGGCTGACGAGACGCGGGCATGTGTGGCGATGTGGTCGCAGGCTGTGCCTGTCGCAAGTGAGTGTGAACGCCGTGGTTACACGTCGGGATGCTGTTGCTGGGGTGTGTTTGTGTTTAAATGAGGTGGTTGGCACACACACACACACACACACACACACATCCTGTTTCCAAAAGAAGGGACCCCATGTCCGCCATGATCCTGGCACAGTGTCACTCTGCTCTAACTGATGCGTCCCGCTGCACCCTGTAACCGTCACGAGGCATTTCCTAGTCAGTTTTTTGGAGAAACCGCTGTAGTCACTTTGGTCATAGTCGTCCTGTAGGCTTTAGATGAGGTCATCGGTCCGTTGCAGAAGTCCGTCTTTAAACCACCGTTTGGCGCCAAGGCCAGAATGTGAGCAGGGAGACCCTCTTCACGGAAGCCCTGACCGGAAGTCCCACCAGAAAGGCCCACGTGGTCCCCGTCCCTCGGGCTGCTCTGGGTGTCTCGGGGGCACCCACCACCCCGTGTCCGGGCCTCCCTGCCGTCGCTCCGGACTCACGCACTCGTGGCCTGCGACTTGGTGAGGGCTGCAGTTAGCGGTTCTTCCCGCCGGGGGGCCTGGCCACACCTGCTGCGCTCCCGTGGCCGGTGCGCCTGCCCTCCTGGGGGGAGCGGGTGGGAGAAGGAGGATGCCTGGCACCTGCGCTGAGAGCCCGGTTCAGTGTCCTCATAGGTGGCAGCCCTGGCTTCTCTGGTGGGCGTTGGTGAGTCCCCATGGGCCAGCTCAGGGGGAGGAGGGACTGTGGGGACCTTGCGAGACAGGTGAAGTGAGTGAGAGCGGGTGTGTGTGTGTCGGGCCGTGTGTGAACGGATTGGTACAGTCTGCATCTGTGTGAGGACCCCTCTGTTGCTGCGGGGGTGCGGCCACATCGTGTGGCAGGGACGGTGTGTACAGGAGCCCCACGTGCTCTGTAATCTCTCTGCTCCGGCCTGGGCATGGTGGGCGGGGCTTCGGGCTGTGGTCACCCGGTGGTGGTCTGGCAGCGAAGACACAGTGGCAGCCCGGTGGCTGCCCATACCTGCCGTCCCAGCCTGATCCGGGGCCGTGGCCACGGGTCCCACTTCCCTGGCTCGCGGGCTCTGAGAGGTTTCTGGAGGTCTGTGGACACGGACACGGCCGGCGGGGGAAGCGGGTCCCACACGTGCAGGTCCTCACGTGGCACGGAGGTCCCTGGCATGGTTGCGGGGGGGTCCGCAAGGACAGCCGCTGCGCCTGGCCCTCCCGCGTCGTGTGCCCTGAGGCGATGTCCGTGGGCAGCGTTTTCGGGCGGCCCGCAGGCTTCGTCGGCGGCAGGGACGTTCCTCCGGGGCCTGGCCACGCAGGGTGGAGGCAGCTGGTGCTTCTTGGATGGCGTCACCTGGGACCACATGCGGGACCAGCGGTGCTAGAAGCCGTGCTTGTTTCCAGGAAGTGGAAGGGGGCAGCAAGCCAGTGTGTGGTCCGGACGAGGCTTCTTCTCATTCTGTGGCCTTGGACCCGACGCTGCCCCACAGCCGGGAACTCCGGGGTATTCTAAGGTGTCTCGGGAGCAGCCCAACCGGCAGGTTGGTGGCAGGGGGTGCCATACAGAGGCCCTGTGGGGTCAGCGTGTGTCGCCGAGCCCCCACCCCCGCTCCTTCCCAGCTTACTGATGCCCCAGGATCATCTGGTGCCCCCTGGGGAGGTGTGGCCTCAGCCCAGCCCGGTGGGAATTCCAGCCCCTCATTGGGCTGTCCTGTGCTCCCAAAATGCTCTCCGGACCCTCCGTTTGAGGGACAGGGGCGGCCCCTGAGGGTTCAGCGTGACCTTGGGTCCCGGTGCTTCCTGGGGAATGGGGTCCCACGCTGGGGGATGTGTGGAGGACCCAGCGTGGACAGGAGGGCCTTTCTGCAGGCCCCTGTGGGGCTTCCTGAGTCAGGCCTTGCACCGTTGCTGGGAGATGCTTGTCCCCGAAATTTCTTTTCTCTGGGCTGGTGGCCAGTCTTTCCTTGTGGTTTGTCCCCCAGCCACGCCCGGGTCCTCCCGGGTCAGCACCGAGGGGACATCCAGAAAGCAGGTGCGGGTCCCACCCCAGCGGTGAGGGTTTTCTGTTCCAGATCCCACCCTCTCGCACCCACTGGGAAGGGGAAGAGGCGCGGGAGAGGGTGGGTGTAGAGAGGTCACTGCTGGACAAGGTCACACAGGCTACCCCTTGCCCCTGTCTCCAGGCTACGGACACGTGGGTTGGAGAACTTAGGTTTTGTGTCACTGTTGAGATTAAACTCACATACTATGCAGCTCAGACGTTTAAGGTTCAGGGGCCGTTGGTCCCTTCGGAGCCGGGCGGCCATCCCACTCATGCCCTGTCCACCCCATCCTCCCCGCCTGGCAGCTTCGAGCCGCGTCTGTCCGTGTGGCTCCACCAGTTGGGACAGCTCCTGGAAACCGCGCTGTGGGTCCCGCGGGATCCAGTGGCTGCCCCGAGAGCATCTCAGGTGCCCCGGGCAGGGGTGTGCGTGGGACTTCGTCCCTCCTGCGGCCGGTCGTGTTCCCTCGTGTGGACGGACCGTGTGGTCCTATGCACTTGCAGTGTGGACGGGACCTGCGCCCACCTCTTGGCTGTGGTGTGCCCCACACTGGTCCACAGGCTTCCGTGTGGATACGTGTGCCCTTCCTGGTGTGGCCCGGGCACGGGGTCCGGCTGAGGACTGCCGTGTACGGCCGTGCGGGGTCTGGCCGGGCTGAGCCACGTCTCTTTCTTGCTCGGGAGCATCTTCTACAGGAAACGGGCTGCTCTGAGCGGCGCTGGGGGGCCTGAGTCTGTGGCTCAGGGAGTTTCGGAGATTAAGGGGCATGAATGTGGGGGCGTCCCTCCCCCGGGTAGGACCCACCTGACCAGAACAGCCCTAGAGTTGTCTCCTCCGTGGCCCCACGGGAGTGTGGAGGGGCCCCGTTTGTGCCTCTCCCTTTGCCTGACCGCCTGCAGCTGGTGACAGCGTGTGGCCTGTCCGGGGCCCGCAGACAGGTGGGGAGGAGACCACAACCGGAGTGCGTCCCGCCACATGGCCGTGTGCTTCTGTCCGATCCTCCTCTGCTGTCTCTGTCCTGCCTGTCGGCTGCGCGACCGGCAAACCCCTTCGGCGGGTGCTGTGACTCGGTAGGAAGCCAGTCCTCTCGCCGGGGGCTGGAGTCACCGTGTCCAGGAGACCACCGATGCTTGCACGGAGAGTGGGGGCCCCCAAGCGTGGCCCTGTTGGGCCCAGAGCCTGCCCGGGAGCTGTGTGACTAAGAGCTGGGCTGGAGGCAGCCGCAGCCCAGCGTGGAATCCTCCCGGTGGCGGGTGTGGCGGGGAAGCCTTTCCGATGACTCACGCTGAAGGGAATTCCCTAATGATTCCGAATAGTTTTACTTCTGGGCTTGCGCACAGTTTCCTACCGAAGACGCTGGGAGCTCTAGATAGGGCCGGAGCTCCAAGCTTGTTTGGGGCTGGCCCTTCCCGTCCCCACAGAGGCTGAGGCTTTGCTTGGCCCAGAGACTGGATGCCCAGAGGCTGGACGTCGGGCCCCGGGTACCACCAGCTCCTGGGGAGACCAGCAGCCACATCCCTGTGGCGCTGGTGCACGTGGGAAGCAGTTTTGTGATTGCCTCGAGTCCATGGTGATGAGCCACATTGAATGGCCTTGGACAGTTTGTACAGGTTTCTGTGTCTGCGTAAGTGGACGGCAGCTCAGGTAGGACCCTCAGTAAGAACGGGCCACGTGGCAGTCCCCGTGCGCTGTGTCTCAACTGCAGATACAGAGTCGGGGCCTATAGGGCCGGTGCCCAGGACTTCTTCCCAGGCCTCAGGTGGGCAGGAAAGTGCGGACAAGCAGCCCCTGAGCGGGGCCTTTCCGAAGCTGGTGATCGGCCGCGGTGCTGATGGTGCGTGGGCGGGCGCCTGGCAGGGTTGGCATTGGGGAAGCTGAACGTGGCGTGCACAGGGGCCCGCGTGGCTTGTGGGCCCTGGGCCGACACTCTGACGAGGACGGGCACCCACAGGCCCAGGAGGGGCTCTGCTGGTGCGCGGGCTGCGGCCCACAGGGATGCCAACAACTTCACCATGTGGATGAGCTTGTGAGACGTGCTCACAGGAAGGCCGGGTCCGCTCTGACCCCTCCTGGAGGGCAGATGGTGGGTGTGGGGCCCCTTTGCTGCCAAACGCCCTCTCCCTGCCCCTCGTGGGCCTCGGTTTCCCTCCTACCCCTGCATGCTGGCTGTGGCCCTCACCAGGAGGCCCAGACACTCCTGGGATTTCCTCAGGGAAACCCGAGCCGCGCTTTCCACTGACAGATGAGAGCCAGCAGCGGCCAGGGCTGCCCCCGCCATTGAGGCCGTAACGCCGAAAGTTCTGTTTCTCTAAAGTTGTTCTAAGAGGCACCAAACAGGAGGGACTTGCTTACAGGAAGAACAACTTCGATTTCCTTCGACCAGTGGTGGGCGGGGCCCCTGCCCTCGAGCCCGAGGCCATCTGGCCTGTGTGGCCCGGACGGCTTGTCTGGTCCACACGCAGGGCTGCATCGCCAGCTCCCCCGGCTCGTGGTCGTCCGTCAGCTCCGGGAGCCAGGGTTCGGGGGTGCTTCTGCCCTCCGGGAAGTGAGCGGCTTCGTGCAAGTCTTGGTGCCGTGGAGAGCGGCCCGGGTGGTTTTGTTTCCGATTCTGTTTTGCTGGAGTAGATGTGGACGCTGACCCCTTGGGCTGCCAGTCTGCATTTTATCACTGAGTGGGTTCATCTGGTGGGTAATACGTGCTGGGACCTCGGGCGTCCCGAGAGGCTAGTGTGGTCCTGGCAGGCTGACCCTGCTCCGGGCTCTGGGTGACTCACATTTCCTCCCTCTGTCTCCACCCTCCACCCCTGCCCGCCCGCACTGTCAGGCACAAACAGATTTTGTCTACTTCGTTTATATAATTTAGGGTCTGTGAGGCACATACATCTCTTCTTTGGAAACAGAGCAGGAGCAGAAACTAAGTATGTTTCGCTGTCATTGTTCACTGGGGACAGAGTTGATAGAAGATGGGGAGAGGGGACACCTTGGCAGGAGACGGACCCCTGCTCATTCAGATTAGCTACCCAGCCAGTCCCCACACAGTTGGCCGGCAGTAGAGGGTTTCCAAAGGCCAAGAACGTGGTTTGCTGACATTCCCGCCAGCGGGCTTCTCGGGGCTCCCTCCCTCCCTGGCCTGGGCCTGCAGGACACTGAGCCTTTCAAGGCCGGTTGGGAGGCTTTTTACTTTTTTTAAGCATGCAAACGGCCGCTGGGGTAAGGATAAAAATACCATGTTTTGTATTTCTGTATCCTGATGTGGCGAGAAGTTGTCACAAAAGGGATTTTCTCATTTAGCCGGGAGCTCCTGTGAGCAGAGGCTGGACTGTGGGTCCTGGGCCCTCACTCGTTAGAAGAGCTCTGCTCCCAGGACATGCAGAGGTGTCACAGGCCCAGGCCGTTTGGCCCACACTCCCCGGCATAGGGACCGCAAGGGTGGAGGGGGTGGGCACGAGTGCCTGGGTCCTGGCGTCTCTCCTGGCCTCACACTCCCGTGACAGAGCTTGTGCCTCTGGATGTAGGCGGGGTGGGGCAGATTTCTGGGGTGCTCCCTGCATGTGGTTCCCTCCCACAGAGCCCAGGGCCTTTGGGCTGCACCAGGCTCCCTGCTGTACCTCTGGGCCGGGCACGTCCTCTCTGCTGTCAACCCGCACGTGACTGTTCATTCTTAGGAGCTAACAGCCAGTAGGGCCCGAGCTGATCAGAGGGCGGCGGTCTCCGGGGTCCCCTGTGCTTGGCGAAGGCCCTTGGTTCAGGGTGGTGGGCTCATCCAGGCCCCCGGAGTGATGCGCTTCCCTCTGCCCCTTTCTTCTAGATGGTCACCACATCTGGGAGATGGAGGCGAAGATGGACAGAGAGCTGTGCAAGCCGGTGAGTACGGCCGGACACGCAGCCCGTGGTGGCGCCGGGCGGCTCTGGAGGCTGGGCTGGGGGTGCCAGGCTGTGTGCGGAGCTGTCCTCACAGGAGCGACGAGAACCACCAGGCAGAATCCTGGAGCACAGAGTGGAAACTATGGTGAAGCGCTTCTAGGAGCTCGTGCTCTGGGGACACAGGACATGCTGGAGGCAGGACCCCGGCCCGGGAGGCACCCCACACCCCCATCACTGAGGGCTGCAGGCTCCTGTGGGGGTCGGGGGCTCGCACCAGGCCCACCTCCTGGTGGTCCCGCAGGAAGCCCACTGCTGTGAGCGTGAGTGGCCCCTTACCTGCCCCTGCACGCCCGGCCGCAGGAGGTCCCAGCAGCGTCCTTGGCGCCCGTCACCCAGCAGGCTGTCATTCTGCACAGGAACTAGGTGTGGCCAGATCTCATGTAGGCGCTGGCAGGCCGCGGAGGTGGGGCCCGCAGACACCCGGCACGCTCGCCCCACCCGATGCTCGGCTGCCCATGGCCCCTCGGTACAGTTTGCACGTGCAGGTGCCCCCGTGGGTGCTGACGGACGGTGCCCTATGCCGGCTTTCTGCGGCTCGTGCTGGCCGGCACGCTGTTCTGTCCCCCCCGCCCCCGTCCCCTTCACCAGGGCCTTTGTGTTGAATGTGGGCTTCTTTGAGGCAGCAGCTGGCTGGGACCAACGGTCTGCCTGTCCAGGTTGGCCCTGGAAGGGATTCTCGGTGCGGTGGGACTAGGGTCTCCCGCGCAGCATGTGTGCGCTGCTTGGTCCTAGAGAGGCAGTGGGTGTCTTCGGGCTCACCTGACGTCCACTGTGCCCAGCCGGTGGCTGAGGGAAGACATTCAAAGTTCTCCCAAGCTCCGTAGCTCACTGTCCTGCTCATGGATGGGCGAGTGCGGCCCCTCGCTCACCCCGCTGACCGCGGGCAGGCGTGTGGCCATTCTGGCAGCGGGAAATTGGCTTATTCAGTGCTCGGGGAGGGAGTGTCCTGTGTTCCTGGGGCTCCGGGGCCGGGGTGTTACAGCAGGCTTCCCAGGGAGCCTTTGGGTGGGGGGATTTCTGAAGCCGTTAGGTCGTCCTCTCTGCTCTGCGGCTGGAGGGACTCCCGAGTCAGGAGGGGAGCCCCCGGCCGGGGAGGCGATAGTCTGACGGCTGCGCGCACGGCGAGCCCAGGCAGCCCAGGTCCCCCACAGGCGGCTGCATCAGAACCCAGTAGGTTACCTGTGACTTCAGCTTCCTTTTCCAAAGCTCTAATCCGTTTACCAGAAGCCTTTACAGCTGGAGTCGGATGGAAAAGGTTCCTCCCTGGCCCCAGGGGAAACCTGTGCCCGGGAGCTCAGTCCCCTCCCATGATGTCCAGGCCTCCTCCCGCCCTCGGGACCTCCCACGAGCATGCGGGCTCCTGCAGGTCCCGTCCCATTTCCCGCCTGCCCAAGGACGCCCCATGGGCTGTGGGCCGTGCGGTTCCTCGACGGGGCTCTCCTGGCTCAGCAGGGCTCCAGGTGCAGATGGCTCCCGGGTTTGTCGTAAGCAGACACCTGGCAGCGGGACAGAGGCCGCCGGCCGCCTCCAGCAGCCTCCCCGAGCGCCCAGGCCTGTGAGGGCCCCCCGGCCCCCACTCCCCCGAGCAGGGAAGAAGCTGCAGAAATCCTACGGCTTTTCGTTCCAGACAATTCCTGCCAAGTTTCCACAGTCAGGTTTAGTGTCGTTGACTTGCCGGTTGGCTGGAGTGTTTGCGTCCGTTGAAGGAAGGTCAGCAGGCGGAAAGGGTGCCAGAGAGACCTTAACGGTCCGTGTGAATGAGGGTGTGCTTCCGCTTTGCGAGTCAAGCTTCTGACCTCGTAATCAAGGCTTTTACATCATGAAGGAACAGAGTATTCGTTGTGGAAATTTGGAAAACGTAAGAAAGTAAAAAACGCAGGCACCTCACGCAGTTTCACCACTGCTACCGTTTTGTCCTGCCCGGCTTCCCGTGGCGTGGGTGCGCGTGTACATGTGTGCGCGTGTACATGTGCGCGTGGGTCTGGATGTGTGTGTGTATGTGTGTGAGTGTGTACATGCACGTGGCAGTGTGTGTACGTGTGCGCGCACGTGTGCACACACGCGGGTCTGGGTGTGGCGTGTGTACGTGTGTGCACATGTGCACACATCCACACACATGCGGTCACTATGCCGTGTGCACTTTGTGAGCAGCGCGAACAAGGCCGGTGGGGGTTTCGGTGCTGCCGTGCGCAGCAGACGGTGGAGTTTCTCAAAGCAAGTCCGGCGGGAGGTCCGCGTGCCGCCTGTGACCCCGCTTTTCTGGGGACGACGGGTGTCCTCTTGCCACACCTTCGAGGCTGCCCCTCCTGCGCTGCTCCCGCGAGGACGGTGCTGTGCGCAGCTTTTGTGTGCGGAGACCCTCTGCCTCTGCTGCGTCAGAAGAGGACCCCAGTCTCCTGGAACCAGTAAAAACCAAGCCCACGAAGTCGAGCCCAGCCCAGGGGCCGCACTGTCCTACCCGGATGCCTGAGTCTGCCCCGGGGGACCCTCCGCAGATGCTCCTCCTGTGGCCCCACATGGCTCAGTTTATCCCGAGCCACCGCATCAGCAGGACCTCCTTGTCCCTGTGTCTTCTCTTCTGTGGGGTCAGACCCGCACTGCGCTCCACAGTAGCTCGGGTCGGGGCGACAGCGTCTGCTGCAGGGTCCCCTGCCACATAGTCCAGTCCTTGGGCGCAGCCTCTCTGTTCTTATGCTTCCCGTGCCAGCAGTGAGGCTGAGACTCAGCCCGGCCCAGAGCCGGACCCGGCCACGCGTTCTCCGCCCCCCATGGCACCCTTGTCCGCCTCCCGGGGACCCACCCTTGGCCCCATCAGCCCCACGTCTGCAGGTTCGCTTTGCTGAGGGGACGAGGTCTCAAGCAGAAGGAGATGCTGCTCATTGCCCCTTCCAAGTGGGACGCGGTCACTGAGGCTGTCAAACACTTCGGGGCCAGCATGGCCCCGGGAGGGAGCCCGGAAGGGCCCTGCTCTCAGCGCCCGCCCTCGGGAGCAGGCTTCTGAGCCTCCGTTCCTTTGTATGTAAAAGGGAAAGTTTGGGCCTGAAGTTCTCTTTGGTTTCGTGTTAACGTTCTTAAGATTCCATCACTAACACGATTCAGTCAATTTTGCTGTTAAACCGGGTGACAAGCTACAATTTAACAAAAACCTGATACAGCGCGTTTTTCTCCTTCATGTTCTCTACTTGCTAGCTTACATCATTTGACAAAAAAAAAAATTAGGGAAACATTTTCTTTTTGTCCCCACCCCCCACCAGGGAGTCGAGCCCAGCGTGGGCGCCTGGGAAGACCCGTCCCCTGACTGGCGTTGGGCCCAGGGTCGGGCACTAAGTGGTGCGCCCGCACTCACCGACACGGGCGTGGGTGGGGATGTGGGTGGGGAAGCCTGTGTCTCCCATAATGCCGTGCGCCCCCCGGACTGTTTCAGATCCACACTCGAAGGAGCATAACTTCTTCTGGGAGAGGTTAACGGCCGCCACCATGAGCCATCCTGTCCCCGTTTGTGCCTTGCTTGCTAGCTGCCCCCCCCCCCGTCCCCCAGCCTGCTCGAGCTGAGCTCACCCACCTTCCGTTGGAGGGAGTCTGGCAGGCCCTGGCGGGCTTTAGGCCTTCGTCACAGAACCTGTCCCGGGCCCATGTCCAGGAAGCTCCTGCCCTGGGCCTTCATCGCATTCCCCGAGCAGGTGCTTTCGAGCCATCTGCGAGCCCGCTGGGGGGCTTCTTTCGTTGCCAAAGGTCACTGGCCCTTTTGGCTCGGGCCGGCAGGCACATGGGGTCTTTCGAGGACCGCTGCTGCCTTGTGGCCATTCTACCCTCAGAGGAGCCCCAGCGGCCTCACGCGGGGATGAGTCGGCAGTGTCTGAGCTGAGGCCCCCACCGGCCCCCCGTGCAGGCCGCCGGTCGGCTCCGGGTGCCCAGGCTGCCAGTGTGGACCGGGCAGCTTCGCTCCGCACATGTGCGCCTGCGTCCCAGGCAGGCTCTGTGCGGGCCCCTCCTCATGGGCAGCTGGGACCATGTGGAGCTCTGCGGGGGCCCGTGTGGGTGCGCCGCGTCTGTGAGGTGCTCACCGTCTCCCTCCTCTGCCGTTTCTCACCAGAACTCGCTGGTGGTCGAGATCCCGCCGTTCCGCAACCAGAGAATAACCAGCCCCGTCCAAGTCAGTTTCTACGTCTGCAACGGGAAGAGGAAGAGGAGTCAGTGCCAGCGCTTCACCTACCTTCCCGCGAACGGTAACGCTCTCCTTCTAGCCTTAAGCACTGAAAACGAACCGAGGGGGCCCTTTTTCTAAGAGACCCAGAAACGCTGAGATGCCGTCGCCGTGAAACAGTGTGGTTGTACGTTTCAGCTGTGTTTTGTCCCGTTAGCAAGAGCATGTCCTCGATTCTTAAAGACAAAAGCGAAGCTTTCGGTGTATTTTCCTTCGTTCCTGCTGTGGGCGGGAGCTGATGTTGGGGCAATTGCTGATCGTTTTGCTGCCTGCTTGCAAATATAGAACAGCCCCGGGGAGAACCCGTACGGCCTTCCGTGCTGAGGCTGAGGCGGTCTGGCCGTGCGTTGAAATCCTGCGGATGCTTACGGTGGAAAAGCAAATAGTTGTAATTGCTTTGCAGGTGCTGTTAGAGATAACCGTACGGTATTGAGCCCAAAGGCCCGTGCTCGATGTGCTCATTAACTAACACGAACGATCTGTGCTCGTGCCTGCGCCCCGAGTCACGCCCCTCCGTGGTGACTGCATCTCCCGGGGCGCGGGAGGCCTTTGGGCCAAGCGCCTGTTACTCAACTGAAAACCCTCCTCACTGGGACGTTTCTGCTCCCAGGAGAGACGCTTAGGACTTAGGAAAATCAGTTTGCCTTTTCAGCTTAAGGTGTTTCCTTAAAGGAAATACTGCGGTGTTTTCCCCCCGAACTAGCAGAAAATAAATGTGCTGGGCATCGTCCTCGAGGCTCCCGCTGTTGCTCTGCGGCCGGGTGGGCCGTGTGCTCGGAGAGCGCAGTGTCACTCGTCTCCTGAATTTAATCGTGTTCTGTGTCCACTCAGCTCTGCCCCGTCTTTCTGTACAGTAGCTGCTCTAGAAGCTTAGGAGATTTCGTATAATTTAAGAGGGAAGTTAGTTATACGCTTAAAACTATTGCGAAAGCAGCCACCTTGTTTTCTCGGTAAAATCAAGATTCTCTGAGCGTTTAGTTCTCTTTAACCATAACATGTCGTTTACGGAATAGACTAGATCGTAGGAAAGCTTAGAATATCTGTGTTGATCTCAGTTAGAATTAGCTGTTTTTGGGGCAAATGATAGCCGTGCCTTTCAAGATTTGAGTCATAGGCTCTTGTAAAGTCATCCCCTCCTGAGGGACTGTCAGCCGGGACTGCCATAAGGGGTGTGTGCCCATGAGCTGCCCCGCCGGGGCCGTGCGCTCTCACGTTCCGTGACCCACCTGGGTTTGTGTGCTCTGCGGCCTCAGAGGCAGTGCATCATACAAGACAAAATATTTAGTCAATTTTTGAGAATGTAATGATTTTATTCTAATTAAACTTCAAGTATGGTTGACCAAAAATTGAAGTTTTAAAGAAAACCACACTTTATAAGAAAAATTGCCTTTTAAAGCAGGTTAGACGATATCTTTCACATTGATGTTTTCTGTAGTCCCTGCTCCAGGAGCAGTGGAGAGGAGTCAGTGGGAGAGGGCCCATGCCTGTGACCTGCACACCCTTCCTACGGGTGGGGATGCTGAGCCCCCAAGGACACGTTACTAAGACAAGGGGGTTTGGAGGGTTGTGCGTGTGCCATCCTGTCTGCCCGCCCTGCGGTGGGAATCCCATCCTGACTGTCCTCTGCCCCTGGGGCCGTACCCCAACATCACTGCCTTCTCCACCTGCCCCCACACCCGTGTCACCAGCCTCTCCCTCTGCTCAGGATCCTCATCATTGCCTTCTCCATCCGCCCCCGGACCCCCATCATCACCCCCTCTGTCCACCCCCAGACCCCTGTCACCACCCTCTTGTCCACCCCCGGACCCCCGTCACCGCCCTCTCCCTGTTCCAGGACCCCCGTCAGCACCCTTTCCGTCCACTCCCAGACCCCCATCACTGCCCTCTCTGTCCACCCCCGGACCCCTGTCACCATCCTGTCATCTGCCCTGCTTCTCACACCTGTTTTCCAAAACGTAGCCCACATGGGCCCCCATCAGTAGCTGATGCACCCTCCTAGACAGAGTCCGTCCCTGGAGCGGTGGCTGGTCTGTCTGGGCTGCGCACACCCCTGACATCGTGGCGGCCTGTCTGCCTCCATCGCGTGTCAGCGTCTCCCACGTTTCTGTCCCTGAGATTCGCCACAGCCCCTGAGAGCCCGAGGCCTCCATGCTGCCAGCCCCTGGGCACCCCGGCCTGGCCCTGGCTCCTGGGGTGGCTGGTCTCGTGTCTGGCCCACCTGGGGCGTTGGGACCACGCCCACGGGCCGCTAGACTGTAAGCTCCCGGGAGCAGGGATGTCAGCCAGCACCCGACTCCGTGGCTGAATCGCAGGCGCGACCCTTCTGTGGTCTTGAAAATAAACAAGAGAACGAACAGAAAACGAGCGTGTGTGTCTGGTGTTCCTCCCCGCCGCGCTCCGCAGGCCCGCCCGGGCGACGGCAGGCACGGAGACCGCGGCTCAGCCCCAGCGGGTCTGCATCCCCGCGTGCTGCTCAGAAAGTGTCCCCGCCCCGCCCCGCCGGGCCGAGCCCCCAGCGGCGGACTGGCACCTCGGGCGACATGTGCCGTGCGGACAAGAGCTTTGCGGGACAGTTAGCCGGAAGGCCCCCTGTGGATTCTGAGTTCTTCGTGGTCGCTCCTTCTCCTCGGGGACCCCGTTTGTGAGGTGCCGCTGTGCTCCCGTGGGCGGCGGGTCCTTTCAAAGGCGTGCTGGCGTCTGGCGGGGGGCACAGCCGAGCCCTGGCCATATTCCAATGGCATATTCCAACGGCACATGCTTTTCAAGGTTATTAAATTTGCTGTTGTGCAAGGCCTTGGAAGTAAATTCACTTAAACCTGTAAAGGTCACTCTCACGAGCAGATATGCAAAATCAAGTGCCATCCTAGGTTTTCCACCAGAATTAGCTGTGGGCGCAGGGGGTATTGGGGCCCCACGTCTCCTCCTGGTGGGAGACACACTGTGGGCTCTCAGAGCTGTGACCCCAAGGGGCAGTGCTCCCGGGAGGCCACCCTCGCACGGAGCGGCAGGGACCTCACTGCCCACACGCAGCTCGTGGGAGTGTAGGCTTGGGAAGTCAGAGGATCAAGTGCTCGTGGCTTGGGGGCACATGGGGGCCCCTGTGTCACGCTCGAGTCGCCTTCCCCGCTTCTGGTCACAGCTGGCAAACTGAGCTCCGTTGCCTGGGACGGCACCCACCTCACCCTCCACCCATAACCTCAGCCGCCCGAGGGGACCCCGCGTCAGTGCGGTTGTCCGCTGTGGGCCTGGGCGTGGCCGAGCAGAGAGGCGGGCTCTGGTCGGCCCGCGTCTGGGGCGGCTGGTCTGCTGTGGGGCCCAGGGTGCTGGGGCTCCCTCGCCCCTCGGGGTTGGCCCAGTGTTGATGGGGGCACGTTTCCGGCTGAATGAGGACAAGCAGAGTCACTGCCTGCGTGGCTTCCCGCGGCAGCTGCTGACTGACGGCGGCAGTGGAAAGCGTCGGAGCGGTTCCGGAGGACACGGCAAGGCCGCACACGGAGCCAGAGCTGCTTCCTGTGGCTCGTTGGCCGCTGTTGTGCGTGCCCAAGGCCAGTCTCGTGAAAGGAGAAGGTCCCGTCTGCAGTCGGGCCTTGTGAGCCAAGGGCGCCCTGGTACTGTCCTGGAGACAGACTCTGCCCCAGCGGGTCCAGTCTGCAGCTGTTCCCGCGCCCTGGCTCAAGGGACAGCTGAGAGAGCCGGCGCTGTGGCCGCGGCTCCTGGCCTTGAGCTTAGTTCCCGACGGTCCCCCGGTGCTGGGACCAGCTGGCAGGGGCGGGGGCTCAGACAGGAAGGAATGGGACGTTCCAAGGAGGGCCTCGCATACCCTCCAAAGTCAGTCTGTCTTTAAAATGAGAAAATGAATCCTGACCCGTGATCGAGTCTTGGTGAGCACGTCTCTGCGTCTGAGGCGTTTTCAGGGGTTTTCCCAGCAGGGCCCTGTGATGGCACGCGGGCCCTGTCAGCGAGCAGCAGAGCAGGTGAGGGTCCTGGGGCCCCTGGTCGAGGACGGCTTTGGGGACACACCTTAGTCGGAGTCCGGGGCCTGCCTGACCTTCGTGGGCAGGACACATAGTCCTCACTGTGGGGCTGCTGCTCTCACAAACCCTCTCGGGACTGTGAGAAGGAAACCGCCTCCGCCCGCCGGGGGGGAAGGTGCCCAGGTGTCGGGGACGGGCTCTGCAGGCCCATCGCGAGCGGCACGAGGAGCAGAGCACCACGCTTCCCTGCTCGCTGCCGGACGGATGTGTGCCTCCAGGTGTCCGTGGCCCTCACGAGACAGGGAGCGGGTGGAAGGAGGGGTCGATTCTGTTTTCTGTTTGCATCATGTAGTCCAGAAACCCTCAGCATCGAGGTGTTGGGCCCGGCAGGCAGCTCTGGGTACACTGGGCAGTGGACCCCAGAGCCGCGGCTGCCGGTGGGAAGAGCCATCCTGGAGGGGCCCACGGGTCCGATGGCCAGGACCATCCTCGCTCCCGCTCTAAGCACGTGCGGCTCTCGGGGGCGGCTGGGTGTGTGGCTGGGACCACGCTGACCCCCCTGGGGCCTTTGTCTTCACAGGGAGCTCCCCCAGACCTCGGCATTAAAGTCTCATCCCGGAGCTATGGCCTCCACGCGGTCCACGTAGGAGCTGGGTGGGGAGGCCATCGGGAGAAGCCTTGGGGACCTCGCGGCCCCCCTGCCCGGGCTGGGTGGGAGCGGACCCTGGACAGGCTCCTCTGGAGTGTCACCTGTCCCAGAAGACCCGCAGGTTCTAAATAAAGTAGATTATGCCACATTTCTGACCACCAGTGTGGGGGGGCATGTCAGTCCCGGTGGCTGAGGTGTGTCCATCCTAGGGACTCCCTTCCAAAGGCAAAACAGCCGGCCTTGGCGGTGGGAGGCAGGCAGGGGGTGCTGGGCAGAGAGCACGGCCCCGGCCCACACGGAAGCTGCCCTTGGGCCCGCAGGGCCTCCCCTCCTGTGACCACGGGACGCCTGCCTGCAGGCCTGCTGTGGCCGTGGTCATGGCCATTGTGGAACATTCTC